TGACATCCTGTCGGCACCACGCGCCCTGGCGTATGCTTGTGCCAAACCGGACTTCTCAATGCCCTCAATGTCATCGACCATGTATACCTTGCGCTCCACCTCGCTGAGAGGGACACCGATAGCCGCACCAGCAGGCGAGACGTGCTTGAAGCTGGCCGCAGCTGGGTAGTTGAGCGCCTTGGTCAGCTCCTGCACCAGGGGCCATGCGTTGAGTGCATCAAGCAGATTGATGTATCCTGGTGAACCGCAGAGCACCTTGAAGGGCAGAGATTTCTCTGGCATGGATACTGTCGCGGGTTTTTGGTGAGGGTTGGCGCCGTATCGGAGGGTGAGGAACTGGTCGCCGTCACCTGCGTACTTCTTCCTGAAGAACTCGGAGATGGCAGTGTCGTATGATGAAGTCTGCTCGAAAGCCTTCAACGCGTAACGTTGCCTGCTGTTCTCTGAGACCTCGCCATCTTTCTTGAGTTCGGTGAGAAGGTCATGGTAGTCGTTGGGGTCGCTAATGATGGTGACGCGCGCGTGGTTCTTCGCGGCGGCCCTGAGCAGAGTCACACCTCCGATATCGATCTCCTCAACGGCCTCGGGGATTGTAACATTGATACGCGCGACGGTCTCGGAGAAGGGGTACAGGTTGCATACGACGAAGTCGATCTTGTCAATGCTGTTGGCGGAGAGGTCTGAGTCGTCCGAGTCGAGGTTGCGCGCGAGAATGCCTCCGTGAACGGCGGGGTGGAGAGTCTTGACGCGTCCACCGAGCATCTCAGGCGCCTTGGTAATGGCAGAGACATCTTCAACAGGGAAGTTGGCCTGACGGATCATCTTGGCCGTACCACCTGAGGCGAGTAGTCGGACACCACATTCATGGAGTCCCTTGGCCAGATCAAGAAGACCGGTCTTGTCGTAGACTGACAGAATCGCTGTCGCAAACGATTAGTAGTAGACTGCAAGTCTCTTCAAATATTTGCTTACCTGTCTTTTGGCCTGCCATTTTGACTAATGTTTTTGAATTTCAGAAGTCAATTGAGAAGAAACAGTCAAACAAGACAGTGACCTGGGGTATAAAGCAATGGCGCACGACACATGTGGAGATTTTTTTGGCATCGCGGGGCTCACGGGTGACCTCATTTGCCTGCCCCTCCATGGCGAACACCCGATTGGCCAAAGCTTGTCTCCGCTATGCGATTGCGACGGCGAGGAAGCGGCTTCACTTATTGTCCGCCTGGTACACACGTTACTTCCGATGTGGGTTGCTTGTCTCCTCGAACTCGTGTTCTGTTCCGACTCTGAAATGGTCTCACCGATTCTCAGCTCCCCGACGTGGTGCTGAGCCATGTAGCCAATCGCTATAGCCATGACAATTCTCGCGCCTCGGTTCTCCGTTGCGATAGCGATATAACTGACTATGTGTCTCTGAATAATCACATCGTCTAGTGCTCAGACGTCGTCGCAAACATACGCGTTTCTTTTTTGTGTCATTTGTATGCAACGCAGCACCCGCGACAACTCACCTCTCACAACGTGCCGTGGGCCTCTCGTCCGTCATCATCGACATCGCATCGCATCGCATAGTCAGCGCACTGAGCCTCTGTAGAAACCATGACGGCGCACACCAATACCGAAGACCTCGCTAGTCATCTGCAATCCGTTCTCCTCGAGCTCAACGCGAACCCCTATCCAGATGTCGCGTGTCCACCAAACCTACCGAAACGCGCTTCAGTAGCGCTCATACTGCGCATTCAGCCAAGTTATTCGCATTGGCCCGATAGTGACGACAGTCCCTTACCAGCTCGACGCAGACGCTCCTCTGTCGCACAACCCAATGCCGAGTTCGACTTCGAGGCCTCGCTAAGCAACTTCTTTTCACAAGAATGGGTGAAGCATGGGGACCCAGAGCTATTGTTCATCAAGCGAGCTACACGAGTGGGCGACAAATGGAACGGACATGTCGCACTACCAGGTGGAAAGAGAGACCCAGAGGACGAGGACGATCAGGCTGCAGCTGCGAGAGAAGCCTTGGAAGAGGTCGGGATTGATCTGAGCCCCGAAAATGCTATTGCAGTCGGCAATCTACCCCAGCGGATTGTCACGACGAGCTGGGGTAAAGTACCGTACGTCTTCACATTCAACAGATACGAGATCCATGCCCTAGAACATGAAAAGTACCATTGCAAGGGTTCAGGCTGATCACAAGCAGACTCATGGTATTATGCCCATACATCTACCTCCTCACCTCCCCAGCCTACCCACAGCAACGCCTGCAGCCTACCGAAGTAGCCTCTTCACACTGGGTACCCATTCGCGCGCTTCTTAGCCCAGCCCTCCGTACACACGAATATGCCGATGTCTCAGCGCGTTTGGCAAAGTCTGAATTGGGCATCAAGCGCTGGTTCTTACAGGCCATGTTGAGCAAGATGATGTTTGCTGCCATACAACTCGTGCCAGCAAACTCGACGCACTGCGCAACCATCCCAGACTTTATACCCGTGGAAGCAGCGCCACACGGTGTGGTGGATACTATTAGAGAGGCATTGGCGGGCGCTGAAGGGAGATCAAAGGACCGTAGGCCTCCTTTGCTGCTATGGGGATTGACACTAGGTGTTGTGAGCGACTTCCTCGAGCACATGCCACCACACAATGCCCTGGAACTGTGGACGTACCCTACTTTCACCAACTGGGATGTGAGATTCGTGATGTGGGCAATGTCTTATCGTTTCCGCAAGCAGAAGTCTCTGGACATGAGCACAGCTGTGTCTAGCATAACAACGACGTCTCAAGACACGACCGAATTGCCTACGCAAGACTTCCCTGGGATTGGCAGTGAGGCGATCGGTTCTTTGGAAGAAGAGAAGCCAGGCGAGGTCGGTATAGCTGGCTTGGGCGTTGGAAGAGGTTGGGGACAGAGTGGGAGAGCGAAGATGATGGCTCGAGGAGCTGCAGTCAATTCAATGCTAGAAGGGTATTATCCGTTAGTCAGGAGAGCTGTGGCTACGGCACTAGTTGGTCGGATAAGTGTTGTGGCTTTGGCGGCATACCTGACATGGAGAAAGTTGAACACTAGATAGCCTATGCGCATACGAAGAAGCTCGTTTTGTCTAAATTGTATCTGAGGAGACCGTCATATGAAGGTCTTAGCTATGTCTTGAGTTGATCTGCGTTGATGCTGAGTCTACAGGGTACCTTGAGGCCATACAATCATCTTGGTATGACTCAGAAAGAACGAGCTTCTTCGGATGACTCTGACATCCTGTATACAATCATCAACCTAGCCACTCAGTCCATCCAGGCCTGGAAGTGCCAGTAGGGTCATAACTGAACTTGTAGTACAAGAGACCCGTCACTATTTGAAGCACAAAGAAATACCAAGCTGACACCTGCTCTACCTTCTTCCGCTGGTCCTCCTTGCCATCTTGTCTGACGACTCTTGTGGTTTTGTTCGCATACAAAAGCGCAATCGCGCCCCATACACCAGAAACCACCGCACACACGACCTCGAGCACAATAGCTGGTGTGTGTTCCGGGACGTATCGTCCAGCAACGATAAGGCTGGCAGGAATTCCGAGAACAAAAGGGAGAAAGATCCACGAATGTTTGACCTCTCTTCTGGTATCTGCCTCTTGATGTTTGTTCGCGTAGACCATGGCGGGAACAGCCAAGATACTTCCCAAGCCTAAGATCCCGATGCCACTCCAATATAGCAGCGTATGATCTGACTGTCCAGCGATATCTCTAAACGCTGATGATGCAAAATAAAGCATGAAAACGACAGCCAGCGCGATAGATGTATGCTCTTTGACAGCAGATGGGTTCTTTTCAGCATCCTCGATTTCCTTCATGTTTGCTACGGGCCAGACCACTAATAGCTCGATGAAGAGGAATGATCCCAGATATAGTGCAGCAATGACTTTGGTCCAAATCAAACCTCCATATCCAAGTAGCTTGATAAATTGTGAAACATTGAGCAAGAAGGCCAAAACTCGAAAGGCCTGTTCGTTGGTTCGGTTAACTTGAAATCCGGCGAGTTTGGCGTGCTTGAGTCCCTTATATATCTCGCTGTGAAATCGGCGCCGTATCACGTCCGTATGGGCGATCTGACACGATCTTTCGGCCCAAGGTGTAGTGAAGTATGTGTAGAGAAGTTCACAGAAGGCCAGAGACGCGTCGAGAATGCACATGATGGGTGAGCTTTTTAACAGAAACCCCACATCCGCGTCGGCGCCGCATACCATGCCTGCAGGCTGTGTCATGGAGTTTATGGCGAAGGCAACCAAGGCAAGATAGAGGGAAGGCCAGGGCACGGTATTCGGAGAAACAGCTTGTGGCGATACAGTGGAAGTCGTGTTTGTATCCATGTTGGGCTATGACGAAGTGTTGTTCTTTTGAGAGAATTAATAGTTCTGTAGAAGTGAGTATTGATCAGCGTTCGCCGCGCCTGAAGGATGTTTGGGTTCCATCGCGCCTGTAAATATATGACTTGAACACATATCAGCATATGCCAAGCAAAAACAACAAGAGTCCAGGCGCACCGAATGACGACAATGTGAAGCAAAAGAACAGCCTCGCACGATATGAGGCGTTCGTGCATGGTTCGGTGATGCTCAGCTCAAGCAGCTAGTGACACATGGCTGAACCTGTAGATAACATGTGCGAACTCGAGAATGGATTTGGTCTACCACAAGACAAGATTCTAGGTAAGGCAGGAGCCCAGCTTGAACCTAGATAGAACAGTGTTACACGAAACGTCTAAAGGCTGGAGAGCTGAAGCTCACGTACCGCGAGCGAGGTGTAGACACGCACCTACCATGCACCCCCACTTTGTTTACGCTAGACTATATTAGTGGCGTACATTCATGGGCCGTCCTTCCATGCATCACAAAAGGCACCGGCAAGCTTTAGATGCTGTAGAAGCTCGCCACTTCTTGATTCATATATATCGAAGAGAGGATATATAGAGCAACCACTCGGCCTGGTCGAATCCGCTGACCAACCCTCTCTACTGTCTACGACATACCTTGCAAAGCCCCAAGAGTGATGTTACCACAATGCGCGTCGTACTTCTCGGGCTTCGCAAATGTCACCTTAGCTTTGTTGTCCACGGCAATCTCGCCCCAGCTCTTCTTCTCTGGGTCGAAAACCGGCCACCCCAATTTGGTCAGCCCTTCCTTCGGATCCTCAGTAAACGCCGCAACAGCGCGCTGCACAAGTCTGACAGTATCTTTCTGAACCTGCGTTTCAGGAAGACCACTGGCATCTGCAGAGCCCCCTAGGATCATGTGTAGTTCTGTTCCATGGTATGCACCGGATGTAGGGTATAGACGTGTGTTGTCCCAGTCACCATAGTACCGGTAAACCCACGTGGGAACACCAGCATCGACACGTGCTCTAGCTTCGTAGGAGATGGGACAAACGAAAGACTCTAGGAGGAATTGACTGGCTTGCTGCTCCGTAACGTTTCGACCTTGAGCAAAAGCTGGTATGACGTAGTAGCCCTGCTCGTGATCATTATGGCCATGGAAATAAGGTAATTTGGCGAAGTGGCCAGATGCCGAGCGAGAAATGTAGTCAGCGAAAACCGTCTCGTTGTCAACCAGAGGGTAGAACGGTGGCGTTGAGCGGACTGGACTGCCACCCGGACTGGGAGCAATCTTGGTTACGGCTTTTGAGAGCGTCTCCCAGGGTTGGCTGCGCATGCAGGCCATTGTGTCGTTTGAGGAAGCGCAGCCTACTAGAGAAGTGATGTTGTCCCAATTAGACCTTTGTCGCTCTGGCGAGTTCATAGGGAAGCTGAACGTGTTGCCTGATGTGGACATGAGACCATGGACGATAGGATCCTCTTGATAAGCATAAGACCACCAGTCGACAGCTGCACCGCCAGAAGATTGGCCAGCGATAACAATCTTCTTTGCATCTCCGCCAAATGCTGCAACGTTCTTTTGGAGCCATTCCACCGCCAGACGTTGGTCACGCAGTCCAAGGTTAGTATCTGCGTTTGGTGCTCCAGGGAAACCGAAAACGTTCAGTCGATAGTTGACGGAGACAACAATGATATCCTCGTTGTTAGCGAGGTATTGGCCATTTGCGAATGGTGTGTTGGTGTTACCGCCAGCAAAACCTGTAGAATGAGCAAGTGAACGTGAGCATACTAGCGGGCGGTAGATGACTTACGTCCTCCATGGAATAGAACGAAAACAGGCTTCTTCGCCTTGACCGATTTTAATGTTGGCTTTGACCATATGTTCAAAGTGAGACAGTCCTCACTTCGAAGTGTCCCTGCACCAGCGGTAAACTAAAAATGCGGTACAGAGTAAGTATTTTATCGTAGATTCGTGGGATGTATGGTCACGTACTACAGAATGTTAGCTCAGTCTGTAGTTGAGAGCATACTATCCCGTACCGGCACTAAGTATAGTCAAGGCTTGATCAGTGAAACCAGGAAATGCAGGCTGGGTGGCAGCGATTTGCGGGCAGTCACTGCGCGCGTATCGTCAGCTCAATGATAAACAGGGTTACTACATGAAGCACCTACTATCCCTGTATCAATTGTCAGCCGCCTTTGCTCGATACAACGGTAATTCCTGTTAGGTACTTACGAAATTGGCTGCAATGTATGTTCCATTGCCCTTGTACCTCTGGGGTGCAGCGAATCGCAATGCTCCGAGCGGCGGTTGTGCATACGGGATACCCAAGTATTCCCAGACCTCGTTTGCCTCAAGCGAGCGATGGCCTGTGATACGTCCATTCTCTGTCTCGACGTTCTCGAAGGAAGATGTGTTCGGTACGGCCAGGGATAATCCAGCTGCGCAGAGCCATAACGATAGCGCCGCGAGACTATGCATCTTGAAATGGCGCCGTGGTGCAGAAGGAACGAGTCTCGATCGAAATGTATGAATGGAGGCTGGTATTCGCCCAGTCCATACACTATGACAATCTAAGAGGCGACGGGAATGCTCGCCGCAATCTCACCGTAGATTAAAGCCTTGCGGGAATTATCTAGATATTCCTTTGATGGGGCAATGTTCCGACCCGTCTTTGAGAACGGGTCGTATAACATACCGCACGGCAGCTCCCTTGGCGCTTTTCCGCGAATGGAAGGCCAATGTGTGAAGGATTGTCGCTTACATGTATCCATGGGGGTACACCAACACCATTGGGTTAGTATGTCCCGAAGACCACCACGAATGCCCCATGTGTGAGCCGTATGCTATGCTGCAACAGCCAGTGAAATTGTAATCGCGGAAACAACGACATGAAACATGTTATCTGGGTTCTGCAGGACGGGAAGCATGGTGGCAAACAGAAGCATGGAAAGTAGGCGCCTAGATGATGTTTCTCCACTCGGAACATTGACATAGCGATGCTTCTTGAACAGCATACTCATCTTGAGAGACACCAGATTTCTGAAAGATGTTCTCCACCATGGGGTTTCCGTCGAAAGATGAAGACAATCAAGGATGGAAGCTTTACTTGACTTCTCTAATCATGATCCTTGCCGCTGGACTTATCGTTATTGCCAGGGTCGTGATACGACTCCAGATCGGTGTGAAGTTACAACTTGACGATTATACAATTATAGCGTCCTTGGTGAGTCGAGCACACGAATGCACACAAGTGATTTCGGTTGACATGCCTCAGATGTTCTCCATTTTATTGTCCATCACCATCCAGTTGTCCGTAGCCCATGGCTATGGACAGCATAAGGTTGACCTTTCGACCGAAGAACTGCATACATGCCTCAAGTTCTTCTGGGTTGCGCAGACGCCCTATAAGATCGTGGTGTGTTTGAATAAAGTATCCGCTATATTATTGTACATGCGTATCTTCATCTCGCGTCACTTTCGATGGCTGTGCTGTGGCGCGCTCGCAATTGTTGTTGGCTCAGGGATCGCGACGGTTTTCGCGACCATTTTCCAGTGTGTGCCACTACAGCGGTCTTGGGATAAAAATGTCGAGGGAACTTGCATCGATAGCTCGAAATTCTGGCTGGCCAATGCGGTGCTGAATATCTTCACAGATGTGATCGTATTGGCACTGCCTATCCGCGAGGTCTCCAAGCTCCAGCTGAAACTTCAAGAAAAGATTATGCTGCACAGTGTATTCTTGTTAGGTAGTTTGTAAGTCTTTCCCGCATTGCCATATATGTCGATTGCGTTAACAGCATATGCTGTGCGTCTACTAACAGCCTCGTTAGTGTCACAATAACATCTATCCTACGCGTCACGGCTGTAGCCAATAGCGTACGCAACCAACAAGACCTGACATGGAATTTCATCGAGCGAGGCATCTGGACCATGATCGAAGCGAACTTGGGCATTATCTGCGCATGTCTACTCGTGTTAAAACAAGTGGTGAAGCGCTGTTTCCTGTCCGTGTTGGGAACGATTCCGAAAGTCAAATACGGTTATGGGTCTGGAACCAGCGGCACTGTAGGACCTGCCACTAGAATGTCTAAGCGAGAGACACAAAAACACTTTAGGCTCGACGATGCGGTGGACGACGAGCACACGTGTGGGCGCGAGATGAACGATATCTATACGTGGCCGGATATAAAGTCATACAAGATGACTTCCCTGGCATATCGGAGTGCATCAGAAGATGGACGAAAGAGTGATGAGAAGCACATCGTCTCCACGAAGGGCGTAGAGAGGGGCCCCAGCCAGAGCAGTGCAGCCAGCGCGGACAGGCCTGCCAATTGGCCATTACATCAAGGCATAACAAAGAAGATGGACGTCCGTGTCGACTCTCATTACTTGTCGTCTATTGATTCTGAGCGTTAAGGTGTAAAGGGCTCGGTGAGGGTGATGTTGTGCTTCCTCTTGGCAGTGAAGAGGGCATTGCTCCACTTCAATCGTGTAAATGCCCATGATGAAACAAATACCTCGGCCACATGTGACAGCCTTTTTCAAAATCCCGAAGTTTTAAAGACCGGTTTCCAGCACAGGTTCTTCTCGAGTGCACCGGATATGAGCACCGCCCACAACGGCAATTTGGCCATAGGTAGAAATTGTCCAAATCTGCCCTGTGGCATGCTAGTTTGCGCTAAGATTAAGGTTGCGAGTTCCAGGATCGATCAGAGGGGCCCGATACTGCGTATGAACGGGCTTTAGGGGCGATCCTCCGCTCTTTATCTTCCGTGATCCACTTCCCGGTGTGTGAATGGTGGAGTGGGGTTGACATGTGAAAGTCACCGACTACACAGGTCGTGTCGGTGCAGCGTAACCATGTTTTTCGGAAGAAAATGAACAGAAAACAACAAATTCTTCCGATCAATTGAAGTACCAGAGAAGAGAAACGTTTGAGAGGAGATTGGAATGCTAATTGTTCTCGGTTCGAGAGAAGTGAGACGTCTTCATGTAACGGGCCGAAAAGAAGTAAGAGTCAAAAGAGGTTAGCAAATGTCATTGAAACATACACAGTACCATGGGTTCCGAATGTAAAGATTGAGCGTAGTCGAAGTGACATTCTAGCCGCCAAGCCAACGGCCACTTGGGACCGTTGTGGTATGGCTTGCGAGTGTGTGGTAGTAGCGATAAGATAGACTAGCGTTACCAAAAGCGCCAAGCGATCTATCGATGGCAGTAGCCAGACGTGCGATGACGGTGGAAAGTTTGTTGGGACAGCGATGGACAAGGTATGTAAGCCGACGGTTGGACAGATGCTGCAGACGAGCGTGTAACGGCTGTCATGGCTTCACATGCCACAGACAGGCGTCTGGTAGCGATAGCAATGGGGATGCGAGGCTCGTGGCGTGGCCCAGAAGACCCCTCACGTGTGGAGAGGGTTCACGAGATGAGGGAGGAACCTCGGCGTCGTCTTCGGCGAATCAATCTGGTTGAATGGTGCCTGGCACGCTAAGCCAGACCCTGCAGCAGAGGGGTGCACCACCCTTGAGAGACATTCCGACTTTTTGCGACGCTGCACCCACAACGTTTTCGAGCCATTGCGGGTCTCTGTGAAGTGCGCGTTTCTTTTGCTGGTGGCGGGGGAGAGTGCTCGCTGTGCAGAATGCCATGTCGGGTTTGATTCGGCGCCATGTCACGCTATCGCCCCTCGTTCAAGCCCGGCAGGTGGCTACATGGTACCTGCGGGTTCCAACTCTAGGCGAGGTGCTGGAATGCGGGTGATGATGGGCACAAACAAGCGGTCTGGTTGCCGTACTTGTGCCTAGCGAAGCGCCAAGCCAGCGGGTGAGAGGGATCTACTGAAAATTAGGATCCTGGACGGCATCGATGCAATTGTGGACAGGCGTGCTGGTGGATATGGAAGCGTGTTCCACGTCGCAAGGACAGTGCTGGCTGTGTCCAGTGCGGTGGCAAGCGATTGCAATAGGCAGAGTAATTTTTCCCGAGTGGAGTGCGATGTACAAGTGTAGAGAGAAAGCGTGCTAGTGGGCTGAGCTGGAGCTGTCTGATTATCGAAGCGAAACGGCTTCTCGAACGCCCCTGGTCGTAGACTGCCCATTCCTACTTTGGCCGCATACCCAAAAGTCCAATTGACACCGCCTTGGAGTCCCTGGCTTAAATTCGCACCCATCCCGCACAAAATTCGCCCTCCTTCACCTGGTTACTCTCTCACTCGTCTCTGAGACTCTCACTCACTCACTTGCCCTCCCCGGCACACTCAACATCTGCAGCCTGCCCTGCATCTCAACAGTTGATAGCCCTTTGGTGCTGCAACTGCTCAGGCTTGCTCCCCACCCCAAACCCTCTTTTTCCCCTCCACCACACCTCAATTCCTCACCACCATGGCAACCTCAACTGCCCGCGCCCAGCAGCCTGTGCTGAGGAGGAACCAGACAGCCGACTCGGCTGTCAACTCAGTCTCGGCTTCGCCGTTTGACTCCCCAGCCGGCTCAGCCTCCAACACCTCGCTTTCCTCGCTGGACGAGCAGCCACAGACCAAGAAGGCTAACGGAAAGCTTCTCGACACATACGGCAACGAATTCGTTATCCCCGACTACACCATCAAGGAGCTGCGCGATGCCATTCCCAAGCACTGCTTCGAACGCTCCGCCCTTCGTGGTCTGGGCTACGTTGCCCGCGACATCGCCTTGCTCGCCACTACCTTCTACCTGTTCCACAACTACGTGACCCCCGAGACGGTCCCCTCTATGCCCCTCCGCACCATGCTCTGGGCTGGATACACTGTCTTGCAGGGTTTCTTCGGCACTGGTCTGTGGGTCATGGCCCACGAGTGCGGCCACCAGGCATTCTCACCCTCCAAGGTGATCAATGACACCGTCGGCTGGTTCTGCCACTCCGCCCTTCTCGTCCCATACTTCTCGTGGAAGATCTCCCACGGCAAGCACCACAAGGCCACCGGCCACATGGAGCGCGACATGGTCTTCGTTCCCAAGACACGCGAGGTATACGCTACCCGTGTCGGCAAGGCGGTCCACGAGATCTCCGAGCTGGCTGAAGAGACCCCCATCTACACCCTGCTCCACTCCATCGTCCAGCAGCTCGGTGGATGGCCCATGTACCTCGTCGCGAACGTCACCGGCCACAACAACCACGACCGCCAGATCGAGGGTAAGGGCAAGGGCAAGAAGAATGGCGTCTTTGGCGGTGTCAACCACTTCAACCCCTCCAGCCCCCTGTACGAGAAGCGCGACGAGCACCTCATCCTGCTCTCTGATCTCGGTATCGGTCTTACTGTCGCTGCTCTCACTGTCATCGGCAAGACCTACGGCTTCAACAACCTGCTCGTCTGGTACATCCTCCCCTACCTCTGGGTCAACCACTGGCTTGTGATGATCACCTTCTTGCAACACACCGACCCCACCCTCCCCCACTACGACGCCGACACCTGGACCTACACTCGTGGTGCCGCTGCTACC